GAGGCATTCTCCCCAGCGTCATGGCAATCAGCTTCCTACCTTGCAGGCCAGCCAGCCCCATCTCCCTCTTACATACAGCCCCCCCGGATCACACACAGACCTGTGTCGGTTATTGGCCAACTTGGCTATTCTTCCTGCATCTCTGATCTTTCCCTTGGTAACTCTGTTTTATTTAACTACTTAGCAGGTGATAAATCTGGTTTCTCCTTGTTCTCCTGGCAGCCAACCAGGACCCATCTTTCCTTTAGCTTCTCTGAGAGAAGGTCCAGAAGCAGCCGTGGCAGAGGACCAGTCAAAAGCTGCTCATTGAGCATCTGTGATAAAAGAAAGGAAGCCAGCAGCTCCTCACAGGAGCAGCCCAGCGCAGAAGTTGGATGCTAGTGAAAAAGACCTCGTTAGAGTTGGTAGAGCATTAACAGCGCTTCAGGAAGAGAAGGGAGAAATAACAGAGGCAAGTGAGGTTAGAAAAAGGAAGAGAGAAAGAAATAAATTTAGCAAGGATGCTTTATCTTAATAAGGAGGAGTAGTTCATTTTCTCTGGATACACACATATGCCCAGGGATTGCTTTTGGGTGTTCTGCTAGTTTTGTATGTTCAGCCCAGGTCTGTACAGTGTCAGCTGGGCAAGTGGCCTTAAAGCCTAAGCTGAGCCCTCAATTCCTGCAGAATATACAGTCCCCCTAAATGTGTGGCCTCATGTTGCTTTAACAGTCCTAAATTCCACATTAAAAGATTTAATATTAAAGAACAATAAAGTCAGCCATAACGCTCTAGGTTGTACTGTGCCAAAGCATAATACGATTATAAATTCCATTCATCTACAGAAGTATTCCAAGAGGACCATTTACTGCAAGTAGGATTACCGTTAGCTAAAAATACTTTGTACAGGGAACTCATGAATTTATTCCTTTGATTACAGCCTTCTTTTATATGAGAACCTGAAAGAAGGTCTAAGGGCATAGAATTAGAGATAAGGTGTTTGGGGCTGCCCACCAGACCTCAGCAGACAACAGAATGCCAATTTGGCATAAATAAGGCTAAGAGGAAAACAGAACAGATCCTCCTATTTGAAAAGCTGAGATCTGCTAATGTTCTCAGGTCATAAAATCTGCCTTATGGAAAAGGACTGCATAATTTCAAATGTGAACAATCCCCCCTGTTAGTATCTTAATATTTTGCACAAGCTTAAATATTTTCCAAAGGAGAGAGATTTTCCCAAAAGATAGTTCAAGGAACTGGTAACACAAAGTGCTAACTTTTTATTTCATTGTGTGGCCTGGTATTCCACCAAATTCATCCTGCTGTTGCTTTGCCCATGCAACACAACACCCCCTTACTAATGATCCAAACTATGAGATGCAGCAGCCACCACTGACTCAAATTCAGCATTTGTATATTTTTCTCGGGGCTGGCATGATAATGCTTTTCATTGCTTTCAATTCCTCTACCACAAAGGGGGAGGGAAAAAAAAAAAAAAAAAAAAAAAAAAGTCTTTCACAGAGAAAGCATCACACACACTCCAACAAGGTATTTGCAGGAGTATTCCAAGAGGGCCATTTGCTGCAAGGAAGATTATGGTTACCTAGAAATACCTTGTGTAGGCAGTCTATTTATTTATTCCTTTCATTACAGCCTTCTTTTACATAGAAGAAGTACAAGGTACATAATTTCAGGAATGCAACGTTCGGGATAACACTTGCTCCTTGGTCTCTGACAACCAATTAGGGGTTTTTGGGTAGAGTTTATTATTGTTAGAACATTTTTATTTCACAAAAATCTCCTGCCAACAATTCACATCAGCGGTTTGATGGGAAAGCAGATGCAGTTCCTCCCACCGCAATCCCTCACATAGGGAAGTCTGATATCTGCAGGGTCTGGCTCATTTCAGAAATCGAGATGCATCAGACTTCTTCAGTTACTTGATGACAAGAAAGTAAGAAAAGTTCCAACTTACCACCCCACCTCCTGCCGAGTGAACCAGCACAGACATGCCTTCTCTTAGGTTAGCAACTTCAAAGAGCATCATGTAGGCAGTTACAAAGTTCATGGGAAACGCAGCAGCTTCAGAAAAAGTCATGTCATCTGGGATCTTGTAGACAAATTCTACTGGGGTACATACTACTTCAGCCCATGCATTGTAGTTTACAAAAGCCATGACTCTGTCTCCAATCTACAAAAAAGGAAGAAAACAGTGGCTGCAATTGAGACTGTAGAGAGCAACTTGTAAGACCCGCAACTCTCCCTGTTCAAGCTGCGGGTCACTGACTGACTGTGAAGATAACACTGCTCCCCTTCTTTGGCAAAACAGCAGTTAAGCTGCCCAGCTTTGGGCTTTTACTATTTTTTAATTGTATTCATTTAGACAGTTCAAATTAATAAAAATATTGAAACAAAGTTAAAGCCACCTCTTTTTTGCTACACTGCTTCTCTGATGGAGCAGTCTTCCATCATCACTAATACAGATCATCTTTTGCTAGCAGAGCTCCCAAATAACAAATGGGGCTGTAAGCAATGAAAGCTGCATTCTTACTAATAACCAGAAAATTTGCTTACAGAAAAAAGAAAAAAATAAGAAAAAAATATTATAATTATATTGACGAGATGCATGGAATAAACAAAATTACATCTAAAATAATTTTCACTTTGTTTTCTCAGTCTTCACACTGATTTAGAGCTACTTTTCCTCTCTGTGGATTGAGAAGGGGGGGCCTTATACTCTGGTAGATAGAGTACATGACAGGGTTCAGAAACCACTCATTTAGAAGATAAAACCATCTGTATCCACCCTTTATTTTTATTATCTTAATAACTGATTCTACCAAAACATTTCCTTGATTGTCAGTTCTACAGCCATGTGTCAGAGCAGAATTTGATCCTATGACTTCGAATAAGCCACCTGAAACATCAAAAATATATCATAGAATCATAGAATCATAGAATGTTTAGGGTTGGAAGGGACCACTAGTGGTCATCTAGTCCAACCCCCCTGCAGTGAGCAGGGACACTGCTAACTAGATCAGATTGCTCAGAGCCCCATCCAACCTGGCCTTGAATGTTTCCAGGGATGGGGCCTCCACTACCTCTCTGGGCAACCTGTTCCAGTGTTTTACCACTCTCATTGTAAAAAATTTCTTCCTTACCTCTAGCCTGAACCTACCCTGTTCTAGTTTAAAACCATTTATCTCTGGATTCTGAAGCACTACTAAGCCTACAAAGTGAATTTGAAGGGGTTTAAAGGAGCAATGAAATATTCCCTTCAAATACAACATTTTTCTACTCAATTTCTCTGGAAAATATATAGTAGCAAAAGGGTATTTCACTACGGAGAAATAAAGATTTTATGTTAATGTTAGATACAGACAGTTGCCCCTAGGAACCTTTCAAAGGTCCAGGCACATCAAATTCATATGTTTGTATAATGCCCTTCATTGCAACTTCAGGTTTTTAAAATGGAGATAGTGACTCCCCACAGATGGACAAGAATAACAACAAGGCAACTGGAGCTCTGAGGCTCCTGCAGGGGTACAACCAGGCTTTGAAAGCAACACTCGTGTAAAAGTGGAAATGGATCTGCTGGGGCTGCTAGGGAGAGCCACAGCAAGCAACCGTTTGGCCAATATGTGTTAAAACCTTCATAGGCATGACTCTTAGAAGCTCTCAATGATGGCTTGTCCCCAGCAGCCCCTACGCATCTTTTACCGTGTCTTAGACCTCTTTGCCTTTCTATATCACACCAACAAATATAGCATCCTTAACCACAAAAGGAGCTCTTCAGTGGAGCCACAGTATAAGTAGTAAGGCAGGAAAAGCATCAAACTTCAGGACTTTGTGTTTTAACTAGAACGAACAGAAGCTGTCCCTCTAAAATACCTTTGCTTATCTGCCTGATATTCTCTACCTTACATTCTACTAATACCCACTAATGCTTTAGAAATACTACAGGTTGTTCTAGGACTATTTCAACTCTATTCCACAGCAATAGAGTAAAGCACAGCACTTCAACCTTCAGGCAAATGTTTATAGTACAAGCACATTTTGGTCTCCCAAGTACTTGTCATCACTTTGGCTTTGGAATATTGCAGGTTTGCTAAAAGCTAAAGTGTTGCTGACAGTACTGAAGGGTTTGTCTCTTTTAGAATGAGGATGCTGAAACAGAACCACCATTCCCATCTCACCGAAATGCCTCCTCCTTTTGAAAAACACATTCAGATCAACAATGCGTCACTGGTAACCACTCTGTGGTTCCCTTTTGTGGTTAGAGAAGCATCTAAAATCTAAAGTTCACTAGGATTAATTAGCAAAGATGTTCATATGTCCTATACCCTTGCAAACAACCATAAATGATTACCAAAAAAGAATGCAGAGAAGTCCCTCTTGGTGATTCCCAAGGGATTTCTTAGTAATAATAAATACCATGTTTTACTACAAACACTACTCAGCGCCTAGTCATCATGTCTGATTAGGCTGTAGCTCCTGAGAATCATCCCCAGAACTAAGGAGTTACATTCGAGCTCGGTAGAAATGAGCTTTTTCCTGATTAGGCTGTAGCTCCTGAGAATCATCCCCACAACTAAGGAGAGATAAGGCCTACACTCGAGCTCGGTAGAAATGAGCTTTTTGTTTTAATGGGAGAAGGAATAGGTATTTACACCATTATTCCACAAAAAAAGGCTTTCTTTCAATGTAAAACATGTTCTTACATATCGCTGCCAAAAGAGACTGTCATTCAATGCTGTCATTTGTCATATGATAACGCAGTCACAGCAAATGAAGACAGTGAGTGGCTGGCACTGTCTCAGTTGCAGTATCTCAGGTAGTACAAACCAAGGGCCAGTAAGACACATTTTTCCAAAGCATGAAATCCCCGTGACTTTAATGTGACTTGAACAGGGAGAGATCTACAAAGGGCAAGAAGGTCAGAAGATGTAGGGTGCAATCTTTGCCCATTCCTGCCATGGCTATGGACAGTGGTAACAGTGTATGTCAGGAGACAAGCATCTGGTGTGCTCCTACTCTGTGCAAGAAATCCATAAAGGAACTGACAGAACGTTCTTCCTCATGGTGCATCCTCCTGTTGATGGGTTCCTACCTGTGCACAGCAGCTATTCTGAGTGTCCACCCTTCCTCTAGATCACTCAAGCACAACCATGGCTATGCAGATTATACGCAAAAAATAAAATACCATGGCTTGTTTCAATTTCAGGGAGTACACCAGAGTACAAACATGTTCTATAATCAGAACAAAGATATAACTTTAAGAGAGACCCCGTATGTTCAGTCAGGTGCAATGTTATTCAAACAAGCACCATATGCTGTAGCCTCATGGGTGCCCTTTAAAAATAGCAAGAACTTTTAAACTGAGAATGCTGATCTAGAGCAGACTTTCTATAGACCTTTCATAGAATATTCTTTGGTATGGAGTGTAACTATAAAACACAGATACTAGAGCAGAACAACTGAAGCAATAGAGTTCTTCAAACAGCAAAGTTATTGTTTGTCACAAAAAGCATTGGAAAATTTTGACTTGTTTCAAGGCAGAGATGGGGCAGGAGTGGGAAGGCAGAGAAATGTCCTAAGAAGAGCTCATCACTGAGGCCATACTAGAAACTAAATTGGCCATTATCTTTACTGAATTGAGAATTTTTACAGGTCTTCTAGAACAGCAAAAATGTTACCTTTAAATGAAAATATTTTAGGTAATTGCTTTCTTAAGATCAAGATACAATAAGAATTCAGAAAATGCAATTACTTGATAACATGACTGACTCAGCAAATAGCTAAAATGATAGAAAAATTTTGAAATAAAAACTGAGTTAATGCATGTCAATCTTATCTACTTAGGAAATAAAAAGTGCAAGATTGGAGGGAATATAGATGTTAAAATCAGTAATAGAATGGGAGGTAGGACAGAATGCTGTTTATATGTAATAGGAGACACCAAAGAGTACATAATGCCAACCAGTTATGAAATATACATTATAATACATTAACTATTTGTCATTTATCACTATTCTGTAAGGTGAAACAGATCCTTTTGCTGAGTGATCGGAGTAAGTCACATACCCAGAATCGGTGTCCCAATTTTATCTGCGCCTCATGAATGCACATGGTTGTAAGAAGCAATACTTACTGTAGATGGGGGGCTCGTTAACTCAAGATCAAAAGTTGGAACTAGAATCAGCAGTGCATGGGCTTTGAGGAGCAGAGCAATGATGACAGCACACATGGCCAAGAAAAGAAACTTAACAAGTTAACTCCACCTCTGTTAATTTCTTAACTGCTTTCCAGTTCCTACTTCACCATCAGGATACGCACATGGCACAAGAGACTTTTCAGGAAGGATTTGAAGGAAATGACAGTGATGGCTTTAGAAACTAATTCAGGAGGTCATTCTCATGCTTGGGAAGCAGCAAGGAAAAATTGCCCTTTCCAGTCTCAACGGGGTGGTGAAGGCTGCTGTCGCTGGCAGACAAGAAGGGATTAGGGACAACACACTCAGTGAACTGGTGATTATGTAGTCTTGCTCTGCAAATAAAGAAAATATTACCTCAAATCCTTTCACGCTATCTCCAAGAGCTTCTACAATTCCAGAACATTCAAAGCCAGGAACAAGTGGTGTCTTAGGAGGGTTGTCGATATTCCCCTGTCGCACCATCAAATCAATAAAGTTCAAACCACTGTAAAACACAGGAAAAAAATAAAATCAAGACTATTTTCATAGCTCAAAACAGAGGAGGAAAACTTGATGTGAGCAGTGGGAAAGCCAGAAAACTTCAGGGCAGCCTTAAAAAGCTGGGCTCCACAGGGTAAGAGGGATGCAGCAGACATTCACATTCTTCCTGTGTGGAATAGACTGACTTTACACTGTGCTGTACAGGCCTTGGGCAGAAGGGTACACGTGCAAGGCAACCACATCTGTCATTAGCCCCAAAGTTTACAAGACTGTTTAGAAGTCACAAGTAGAAATTCACAAAGGACATATAAAATTCAACACAGTGAAACATTATGATTTCCATGAATGCATTACTAGCTGACAAATAAACCCAGTTCTATTTAAGAAGAAAACCCCAAACCTCACACATGATAGATGTTTTGGGCCAAGAGCAACCTGATACAACTGTCCTAAGCTCTGATGTGACTCCAGGAATAAATCTTGCATTCATCCCAGGCAGGAGTCCAAACTTTGATATGAACTTATTAAGTATCAGATAGGCTGTTGTTTTAAAACTGTTCCTGCTGGATCACTCCCGTACAGTTTTGCAAAGGTTATTTAGGTCTTTGGAGCCCTCAGAGTTGCTGCTTAGAAAAAATGCAGTAGTCTCAGTTTTGCAAAAATCTTTGCTTTGTCTTTTATATGCCATCCGATTTTGTTAAGTAAGTTTTTGTGGTTTTCTAGGCAGCCACAATAAAAACAACCAAAAAAGGTACCATTTATCTACTGCGTGCATATACCGATTACTGGCACAAATGCCATGCATAGTTAAAACTTCTAAAACTCCTAACTAGCTAAAATATGCTTCAGTATTAATCCATTGTTCCAAAACACAGTCCTGTATTTATTGTTAGCTGAATTTGCTGCATACTACTCCCCCGATTCCATGAAGCTATGCACACAGCCAGTCCTACTCATGCATATGATACCAGCAACTGCTTGGATACATAAGATGACTGATATGCACAAGTATTTATAAGATGGAGCTTTAGTCAGATACTAATCAAGGCACAAACAGATTGAACAGACCCAACAAACAAAAAGACAGAGTAGACACAAAGCGTAAGCACAAAGACAAGACAGCATTCATGAGATGTAGGTCACTGGGGGAGAAAAAAAAAGGAAATTCCACCGAATGTAAATATCTGTAATTGTGGTGGAGGTTTTAAGAGCAACCTTAACCTGCAACTTTTAACTCTGTCAAAATCATGTTTTTCAAAAATAATCTAGAACCTTGCTTTTACAATCTAGCTTGACAAACTCAGGAGAAAAATTAAAAAAAAAAAAAAAAAAAAGAATCAAACTAAAACCCTAAAACCAACCCCAACATGCTCATATGTAAAGCTCATAACATTAAACATATGGAAGGTTAGGAGGGGTTTGGCACAATTAAGTTGGGAGCTTTGAAATTATTTCAGAAAGGCCACTTCTTATCCAGTGGCTAAGACCACCTTCTACATCATCACTGTAATGTTGATAATGAAAGAGAAATTCCAAATAACAAAACACTTGCAAGGCAGTCATCATTTGGGGGGATAGGGAACAAAAACCACCACAAAACTAAAAACCCCACAACATGCATGGTGGCAACCATTCTCTGTGTACATTAACTTCAGTGATGATCTTTTGAATACATCTTTTCACGCTGTGAGCGTTTTACAAAAATTAACTTTTTCTACATTCCTGCAAGAGAAGGCAGCTGGAGGCAGAACTGTGATGTGGAAACCTGTGTAGGAACACCCAGCGTGACATCATAACAAGTAGGCAACAAGCAGACAGATGGATATGGCAAAGACCATAGCCATTTGATAATGACATATTATTACAAATACATTATTGCAGGTCTTTCTAGAAGCATTCATTCTTATGAAATAACTGGTCAGACAATTTTTGAAAGGGCACATATTCGGTTTTGCATCTAACGACGTAATACTAGCAATTCAGCTCTGGTTTAGTTCCATTTCTCTTTGGTCTGCCTCAATAAAAGACAGCAATATTAAATAAGATAGGGAGTTCATCTCTATTACAATGAACTTACAAGACTTGATACTAGAACAGGTGTGATAAGGAGAGGAACAAGGTATGTAATGCCCAAGTCACATGCTTTTATCGTTTTAATTACTAGCTGGAACATAGAGCGCTGATCAGCATTTCTAATCATTTGTAGTCACTTTCCAGAGAGTTTCCCCTTCATTCACTTCAACTTTTAAGATCCTACATCTACGTGTTGTCACATCCCTGTTACTCTCATACATGCATTTGTTTCCATTCTTCTCCACTTTCAAATAAGGACAGAAATAAGTTGTTTTATTTTACCTGCCAAATTGGAATAAGCCTTATCAACACCAATAGACCCGAAAGCACAATTATGTTATATGGTAAACCCAGCAATTTACACTAGCTTTTTTTTCCCCTTTGAATAACCTGGCAGGCCCAAAGATGAAAGGCTAGTTTAGTAACTACCTCCAAGACACCCAACCTTATCAAGTCCTTCATTGAGATTCAGCCTACAGCAGACACAGGAAAAGGGAAGTTTGGCTGCACAGACTATCACAAGAAAATAAGTCTCATGAAGAGTGATGGGTTCAGAGAATAAGCACAATTTATTTCTTGGATCAGTACAAACCAGTATAGCCTGTTTGGGTGTGCAGCCAGTGAAAGTGACTCCTGAACTTCAAGTAAGGGCATATGCAGAAGGAGAAGTGTAAATGCAAAGTGATCCAGTGACAAAAAGCACACAATTTCTTGTAGTCATGTGTTTTTAATCCTAAATCAAGAGCTGGATGCAAATGAAGATAGGGAAGGATATGAATTACCAAGATCAATACATTGACATAGGGCTTCTGCAAGAATCTTTCTGTGAAAGAGCAGGGATATTGGTGTGAGCTGCATAGACTGAATTACCTGTGCATGTCTGGAGGCAGTTTATCAGACACAGAAGTGTCTTTAAATCTGACTTTGTAAGTCTGCAATGCTTTGCCTTAACACCAATTCTGAGGATCTTGAATATTATTTCCTATACTTGTGGTTTAGCTTTGCTGCATTTTTATTTTCTCAGTGTGGAAAGTCCTGTGGATAGAAAGCTGTATTCTAGAATTCTTTCACCATCAGACCAGCAACAGTCAACTTGGTTCTCCTTGCTCTGTCCCATGCACTCGAGGATGCCCAATACCTTCCATTACAAAATACCAAATCATGCAGACCATCCTTCGCACTTTTGTTTGGAGGGGTGCTGCTTCTGATCTGTCTTATTTCACTGTAAGGTTCCAGTGAATCCAGTTGATTACTGGATTTAATGGAATACAACAGAGCAAGTAAGAGGACCACTAAGTTTTATATTCTTAAAATCTTAGCTCTTACCCCAAACAGCAAATTGCCCGACAATCTTTAAAAAGAAAAAAAAAAAAGGAAAGGTTTAAAATTATCAGATCTCATGCTTTTCATCCAGAAATACCCACAGTGTATGAACAAGACTGCCTTTAAGAACAAAATTGATACACTGTTCCTTACTCTGCTATACTTAGGATTTCTTTTATTTGCTACCACTTTTTTTAAAGTGCTGTTATCTCACAGTCACAGAGTCAGAAGGGTCACTTCTGCCTCATTCCTCATGACGCACATGTATAACGGCACAAGGAAGAAATAATTGTAACAGAGCAAAGAAAAATAAAGGGAGGTAATTGCAGGACACCATTCCTTATTCACACACGCTATCTGAAATACTGCTTCGGTTTGTTCTAGCTACTGTCTGATCTTTTAAACAATACGTATACTGGTGTTCTGCAGACTGCAAATTACAATACAAACAAATACAGCAATTTCAACTGCTCCATCATTATCAATCAAAAATTATTTCAGGAAATATGCAGAAGCTGTGACTCAGCTTGGACATCGATGGCTGTTCCATTTCTTAGTCACTGAATGAGGCTAACAAATGACTCATCTCAGCTGACACATTTTCAATTGGATCATTGATATTCCAGACCTTTAAAAGAATTATTCATCTGTTTTAGCGCTAAGAGCAACATATCCTCCATCTCCTCCATTTATAGTACCATACTACAAAATGTATACATATCATTTAACTGGTGTATACATACGATTCAACTGGCTTCATCCCCCAGCGAATGCAGAGACCACACAGAACTTGCACTTTTTACTGATGTGTATTTATCATGCATGCACACATTCTTCTTAAAATAAAGATTATTTTTCTCTACAAGTTGGTGGAGAAAAATAATCATCATCTGTAATGACGGTCAACTGCAAAACTGATTCAATTAAGACCATTACTTGTTATGTCTTACTAGAGCAGCCCACCTTTGGCGCGTTCAGCGCTGCATGCATTAACACGTGCATGCTACACTGGGCAAAGCCAGCAGACATTTTTCTCACTCAGTCTCCCAGACTAGACCGCAAGTCCATCATCATCCTGATCAATCTTCTGTATTTACAGACTCGGGTCAAGAAGATCGGCAAATTGATTTTGCCTTGTTTGGAAGCACACTTTGGTGACCTGATCGCATTTCAGCCCATGGCCATTTCCAGCCAGGAATGACAAGCAGATGCTATACAGCCTACAGGCTCCTCTGGCATGAAGGGAAGCTCCCGAAACACACGTGGTACTGTGCAACCTGGCAGTAACTATGAAGCAGTTGAGCAGATCTACTGATGTCAAACAGCAAGCGTGCAACTCGCACAACTCACTAGTGATAATGCAACCCTGGAAAGCAACTGTAGTTGTAGCAGAGCTTAATATTTCTGTTTTACGGCCAAGTGTTCTTTTGCAGGTAACTTGCTATGTGATACACATGTATCTACTGCTTGGATGGAAGTGGAATTCATACAGGTACTGGGAAGTGCGGTAAACCCCTCAGGCACTTAAAGGAATACGTCCACGTGCTCAGAACATTTTAAGTTTTGCATGTTAGCTTTTGTTAACTCAATGGCTGAAAAAAAAAATCACTCTGAAAACCACACAGCCTATTCTCAAATGGAATTATAGCCCTGCTTGTTAGCAAAATGAGCTACCCAGCAGTTACTATGCTACCACTATTTCTTATATTCACCTAGCACGGAATTTCTTGCATTACCCCTTGTGACTAGTAAAGAAAAAACCCAAACAAATGAGAATGCAAAAAATCTCAGCCCTTCATTTATTAATCCTCATTCAGACTGACAGATATCACTATTTTTCATGGGCAACACCTTGGGGGGCAGGAGGAAGTACTCACATAGGTCACAAACCTTATGATCCCTGTGAAGTACAGGATGGAAAGCTCAGTGTCTGTACAGGCCAAGACATTCAGCTACATTAACCTACTGGGATGTTCCAGGATCTGAGGCACATTCAGGAGATACATGGTTCAAAACAAGCTCACTGCCCCATACCAGTACAATTTTTAATGCAAGTTACTTCTAAAATAAATAACTTGGCCTTCACCTTGGCATTTATCTTCCAGAAGCACCGTGTTTTCACATAGCAGAAGAGGACAACAAAAGATAAATCTCTGCCTAGGCAAAATTAATTTGGTCTTTGGTGCACATCAAGTTGTGTAATAAGATCCTAATGTTGCTTCTGTCACTTAAGAAAAAAAGCCCCTATTTTCATGCAGGAACATGTGCACTGAGAACCAGCTATCTAGGAAGAACAGCCTGCTCCAATTGTCTGGGAAAAAAATTAGCCTTCTAGGAAAGCTGGTTTCAGGATGTCACCAGATTGCTAGCCACTTGTCAACTGGGCACGGGAATTAACCACTGGTAAGTTATCCCCAGCTCCAGCTACGCTGTCGCGCCAGCTCCAAAGAAGAATTACGATGGCTGAAGTAAGAGATTCCCAGGAGTAAAACAGCAGCTAGTACCGGGAGGGGAAGGGACAGGTGCTGAGCACCGCATGCAAGCTGGCATCCACATTTCTCAGAACGCAAACGACAAAACCCCGAACGCAGTTGGCCAGTTTTTTGCCCCCATTTCTCCCTGCTGGTACCGTGAAAACCAACGACAGCTCCTTCTCCTTCGCAGCGGCTGC